TATAAATGGCTGGCCGTAAATTGTAGAAAAGAAATAAAACAAAAAAATTGTTTTATCTCTGTTTGCTTTACTTCCTTCCTAGCCAGTTCCTGTATTTCCTGTATTATTCTTTTTAATAATTATTTCTTTTGTTCTACAGGAAAGGAGTTCTCTATGCTTACATTGATTTGCCTAATATCCATAAGCACTGGAGCGATATTTTTTGAGTTCATACTTTTTTTTAATAGGATAGGGTGACAAACGAGCACACAGTCCATCTGATGGTAAGTGGTTGCTGTGACCCATAGACACCTACATCTATCCTCGATTACGAATCAAATCGCAGATGCGTTGTCACCCGTGAGGACTAAAATGGAATGTCTCGTTTCCAGTAAAAAGGGTCTCCGGTTCTCTACACTCACCATACGAAACACAGCAGCATTAAGCTGCTATTTTACTCTGGTATTCTGTGACTGCGTGGTCCTACCCCGATCGAGTCCACCTATTCGGGCTACTATTAATATAACTGCAGTATGATTCTACCATGTATAAATTTCATTATAAAATTAAATCAATAAACACACATTCGCTTGTGTGTTTATTGATTTAATTTTACATTCACTGTTTGAAACATTAATTTTATTATCAGTTATAGCGACCGCATCATTTCTCCATTTCTCTCTTTATACGTTGAGCTATGTAGTTTGGTGGTGTAGTAGAGACAGCGCATTTTTTCGGCTAGATTAAGTTCAGATACGGCTTTATTAAAAAACCGTAGTAACATTTGAAATTAAGATCTTACTCCACTATCACGAAAGAAGAATGTGTGTTTATCCCTTTGTTAGTTTCCTGTAGACACATGTTAGATTGTGAGGTGGATTAAATTTGTATTTATCACCATAGTTAAAGACTACAATTGACTGTAGTATTTAATGTTATTATGGTATGGTATTTCTAATGACTATTGGTATGTATAAACATTACGATTAATTCAAAGACTCCCAATGACGAGACAGGACCATGTAGGTACACCAGAGTACATTTTCCGGCTGGTGCAGAAAAATACGAAGTTTGATAAAAACATTATGGCGTTTGCATTTAATGTTTAGGTTTCATATAGCTTTACTTTCGTATAATATCATTATTTCAAATCTATTAGTTTTTAATTCATCATCATAATCATTATTACAGCATCACAAGTCCACTGCTGAACATGGAAATTGCCCAAACATTTTTAAATTACTTCTATATAATCGATTCTTAAGGAACTCATACAAATTTTGACCTCATGATAATACATTATATGAACTCTAAGCTCCTAAATCCTCAATCTTGATACTTCATGAGTACCAATTTCGTATTTAGGTTTCATATTCGGCTAATGATATACTCTATTGATATTGTACCTGCGATGGGGTTGCGATGAAGCTCAAATTCGGATTTAGCAAAAACATTTTTTTTATTTCTATGTTCGTTTTTCGAACATACTCAATTGTAGCTCTTTTGCTAACAACCATTGAGCTTTTTTGGTACTACGTACTAGAGGCGACACTGCATTCAGCTACTCTGTTCCACTCAACTGCGGTGCGTACACCGCACTTTAATCAGTCACTCGCTAGGCGCTTGTAGAGTTGTCACGTGTTGTGTTGATTTTAAAAAAATCTCTTGATAAAAATATGCCGTCGTGTGTACTTAGATATTGCACAAATAATTCAAGAAATGTCAGTAAAAGCCAAGGAATTACTTTTCATCGTAGAGAGAGAGTTAATACTACTATATTGCTGTTTTTATTTTTTAAATCAAAGAACAGAAAATATCAAACCTTTTAATGACCTTTAATAAAAACCGGATATTTGAAATGTGAGCAAAGAAAATATTACGAACCTCTGGAAATGAGATAAATTTATACGCAGTATGAGAGTTCTGAAAAAGATTATATTTTATATTACAACATTTTGAATTTCGTCGTGTAGTTAAAGAGTAGTGGTTTTTCTTTCAGCCAGCGTAGTAATTCACTACCTTGTGTTATCACATGGGTTTCTTAAGATGCGTCAAAAGGAAACTAAAACAGTTGATGGGCGGTAGTATCTTTCTGATAACAATTCAAAATAATGAAAAGTTGCAGTTCCAACTCAGCCTTTTAAGCTTGACTACTATGGCAAATATTCCCCTTATGAAACAATCTACGAGGAGGCCTCTGTTCAGCAGTAGACTTTGATAGGCTGTAATAATGATATTGTTAATGACGATTCCCAATTTATTATTTGTTTATATGAATCTTGTGTCGTATTAAGTATGAGTTATATTCTTGCTATATAGTTTGAATAACCGACAATTGACTGGAAGAAAGGTTTTCGAGTGGCAGACTCATACTGAAATGTAGGACAGCCCTCAGCGGCCCCCACTAGACAGAGACAGACGACCTGGTAAGTGATGCAGGAAGTTGATGGACGCAGTTGGTTCAGTACCGTGCTTTGTAACATTCCTTGATGGAGGTCTATGTTCAGAAATGTACTTGTGATGAACTGTAATGATGATAATTATTATTAATTAGTTAACTAAAGTCGATTTCTTTTTTATAATAATAATAGTTGCTAAAATTCTTGTTTACCACCTCCCTATTGCGCGGTATCGATGCCGCACGGTCTTGTGGTAGATGACAGTAATGGGCTGTTAACTTTACTTATGTCGGTATAAATGACAATGTGAGTATCCCAGTGATTTTTTTTATAAAATCTTTCGTAAATGCCGATTTCTCTAAATTCACTTAGAATTTAAAATGTTATTATCTTTCCGTTGGTACATTTCTTAATAAATATAAGTGGTAGAGCTACGCTGCGGTCGTATTATAGCTGCAATACGAATGGGTCCACTTAACTGGGGAAGGACCACGCTCTCACAGAATACTAGCATAAAATAACAGCTTAACACTGCTGTGTTTCATAGGGTGAATGTAGAGATCCAGAGATCTTTTTTTACTGGAAACAAGGCATTCCATCTTAGTCCTCAGGGGTGACAACACATTTACGTTTTGATTCTTAATCGTGGATAAATGTAGATGTCTATGGGCCACAGCATCCACTTACCATCAGGTGGACTATGTGCTCGTTAGTCACTCTTATTCTATAAAAAAATACAAAATACCAACTTTTTATATAGAAGAGAGGGCGAACGAGCATTCGACCCACCTGATGGTAAGTGACTACCGGCGCCTATTAGGAATTGCAACACCATGGGAATTGCAGGTGCGTTGCCGGCCTGTTAGAAAGGGGTAAGCTTTTTTCTTGAAGGTCAATGATAGTCTACATTATAACAAGGATAGTGTATATTATAAAGGTGGACTTAATATACACTACACTATCACTGTTGAAGGTCCCAAGTCGTATCGGTCTGGAAAAATTGCAGAGACGGTGAAATTGCCTTAAATAAATTTTATATGCATCGACATTTTTTGGAAACACTTCAATTTATTTCGGTCACCTTGGCATATTTTCTATGAGAGTCGCCACGAAAAAATGCTTTATTTTCTTTAAAAGTAAAGTTTGAGTATTATTCTGCACACAGTTTAAGGACTAGAAAAAAGTGCATACCTTTGAAGTCATGCTTGTTAGCGACTTGTAATTGTTATACTTTTAATAATCACTCAGATATGCAGACATTTACTTTTACAATTAATGGTATTGTTTTGTATTGCTCGCGTAATATGAAATTTAATTGATTACTTTATTTGGACTGTAATGCTGCATGCTGCTTGGTCGGCTCGACCGGGCTAGGACCACGCTCTCACAGAATACCAGTATAAAATAGCAGCTTAATGCTGCTATGTTTCGTATGGTGAATGTAAAGAACCGGAGACCCTTTTTACTGAAAAGAGGCATTCCATCTTAGTTCTCACGGCTGACAACGCATCTGAATTTTGATTAGCAAACGAGGATAGATGTAGATGTCTATGCGCCACAGCAACCACTTATCATCAGGTGGACTGTGTGCTCGCTTGTAACCCTTATCCAGTAAAAAATAAAAGCAACAATCCACCGGCTTTCAAGTTCCCGCCATAACTCCTTTTGGATTTAATAAACGCATTCCAAATTTAGATTCAGTGAAAAAGAACTCTTAAAATTATTATCACATTGTAATATTATTTATAGTAAAGTAAAGTAAAGTTACAGTCTAAATACGTCCCACTGCTGGGCACAGGCCTCCCCTCATGTCTGAGAGGGTTTTAGGGCAAGGAAATGTTCACCGCGCTGCCCCAATACGTGTTGGCGAATTTCACATGTCTTCGAAATATTTTTTTTCTTATTCCATATACATGCAGGTTTCCTCACGATGTTTTCCTTCACCGCCGAGCACGTGGTAAATAATATTATTTATGACTAGGTTAATTAGTATCTAGATCGAAAACTCGCAACTACATATATACTTACTCGATATGTCTTCAATAAGCTGAATAATAAAGATTCAGAAGTTTCATTTCATGGATAAATATCTACTTTTACGAGGATAAATAATATGGCTGCTTTGTTATTTCTACGTCATTAAGTATAAAGCGCGCCCTAGACTGTAATGCGGTATGACATGCTTGATTGATGCCTTCGATTGATGCCAATGACATGCACACTACGCGCTGGCGGCTGATTGACAGTTCATTTATTTTTTCATTCTCGAAGCTACGACTGACATGCACGCATAATGGATTTCGGAGCGGCATGTCATGCAACAACTCAGTTTGTTTCGTAACGGCGTCAGTGATGGACACGCACGGCGAAAATGAAAAAAACTATAAAGATTTAGTTTTACGATTAATATCATTGTATAAAGATTGTCCTGAATTATGGGACAAGAGAGAAAAAACGTACACGGATAAATACCAAAGAAATATTTGTTTAAACAAAATAACAAACGATTTGAAAAAAATTGATAAAGATTTTACAGTAGAGAAGTTGAAGCGAAAAATTAATACATTGCGCTCAAATTTCAACAGAGAACATTCTAAAGTGAAAAAGGGCATTAAATCTGGAATGACAGAAGATGAGGTGTACCAACCAAGGTTGTGGTATTATAGCGAAATGCTTTTCCTCGTAAACTCTACTGAGGTAACAACAACGGAGGGTTCAATACGAAAGACTGCGGTAAGTATTATTTTTAGGTGTATTTATTTAAATCAGTTCTAAATTATGTGTAGATATTTAAAAAAAACTTTTAGTAATTTCAGATGTGCATGCTTTAAGCGCTCATGTTATACGTCAATTTTTTAGTCTTTTAAATACACACAAGTTTTCAGAAATAACCTTGTTATTATCACATCTAAATTTCCGATAATTTTATGTCAAACGTCAATAAAAAAAATTTGAAAATCCAAACTCATAATGCTCATATGATCGTGAAAAAATGTTGAAAAATTCTCAATCAACAATAGAGAATATTTTTTTAAATTTTACTATGTTTTTATTATTGAGGTACAATTTTTTTTAGTGTTAACTGCAAAAAAATTTAATAGAATTATCTTAAAACGAACAGAAATCAACTTTAAGACGAAATAGTATAGTGATCACGTAAATTTGAGGGGGTAAGCAGACGCGGGCGAGCGATCGGCGCGCGGGGCCCCACACGTATCCGGCTAGCTGCTATCAATCACATGAGTAGATATTCTGTTTATCTACTCATGTGTAGCAATAGCGACGAGTAGGAATCGGCAAGTGAAAAAATATATCGATATTTATATCGATGTATAACGTATCGATATTTTTAAACAGTATCGATATATTCGCGTGACAAATAACGATATATCGTCATGTTTTGCTTAGTGTAGTAGGATAAGATAAGATTACAGGATGGTTGAATGACGAAAAAAAACGACAACAGCACATGAATGTTTTTGTAGCTTCTTTTATTGCCTCAGGTTTTGCAAATTAAGATACTATCTCAGCTCAATATCTAATTTTGCCTCTAGGTACTTCCCCTTTCATTGTTCACAGTAAAAGCTGGTCAAGTTTTCTAGTATAAGTTGACCCCTTATTGTACGGAAAGCCTATACAATGCGAGATCAGCTTATACTGGAAAATGTCTCTGTGTAATATCGCCAGATACAGGTTCGTCCCGCTACAGATGCCTCAGCCGCAGCAGACTGATCTGGAATCATTCACATTGAACAAATTGAAAAGGATAGCTCTGTTACCTACCGCGTGCAAAACAAGAGACAGAAAGAGAGTGTGCTTGCTTAGAATAAAATAACGCAAGCGCCAAACCACATAATTGCTAATTATGGGAAGACTACGTAGAAAAAGAAAAACAAATCGTCACGATTTGAGATAATATTATTATCTATCTATTACGTTAAAAACATCATTCAATTCCATAAGGTTTCAGAGATCTAACTCAAAATACGTGCATATATACTCGTAACGAGGTTTTTTCGTATTTTTTTCTATCGAGAATTTGTTATCGAATCGTATTTTCGCTTCAACAGATTAGAAGATTATAAGTCCTAGTTTAATGTGTCTAAATAACAAACTCTTAGGTCTTATAGATCCGAGATCCAGATCACTCCATATCACCAAAACTTGAAGTGGCGCGTTTCAGTTTATTTTAGAAGGCAAAGCGATTAAAACCTAGTAAGTGCAAGTAAAACTACTTCAATATATAATATATATATATATATATATATATATATATATATTTAAATTTTGGGTCAATAAATCATTGTTATAATAATTTTAATATCAATAGCAAATTTAATTCTAATAAAATTTCGTCTAGGATTCACTTCTGCAACATAAATTTTCTTTGTCACTCTTTCCTCATTCATTCTTTCCACATGACCAAACCACCGAAGCATTCCTTTCTTAATCCTGGTCACAACATCATCTTGCAAACCACACTCTTCTCTTATCACACAGTTTCTCACCCTATCACTCAGATTCAGCCCTAACACACTCCTTAGCGACCGCATTTCTACTGCATTTATTCTACTCTCGTGCTTCTTCTGCCACACCCAACTTTCACTACCATGTGTTAAAGTAGGGACCAACACAGCATTGTGAATTGCCATACGTGCCTGTTTTGACACATTCTAGCTTATCACAATAGAGTGTAGGGCTCCATTTACTCTATTTCACTCGTCTTTCTATATTCTTATCGTATCTGCCATCCTAGCTAAATACGCATCCCAAATATACAAATTCATCTACTTGCTCTATCAACTCCCCTTCTATTCTTATTTCACATATCGTTTTATTTTCTTCTCTTTCAAAACCATAACTTTCGTTTTAATTGTGTTCACTTTCATACCCCTTTCTTTCACTGATCTGTTCATTAACACATTAATGAACATGTGCAACTCGGCAGCCGACGACGCAAAAATAACTTGATCATCGGCGTACAAAAGGCATTTGATGGTTAACTCTGGGTGAGTTTTTAATCCACATTCCTCAACTTCTAAATTTTCCAAACAACTGTCCATACATACATTGAACAGCCTAGGGGAAGCCACATAGCCCTGTATGACATCCTTATGGATGGCAATCCAGTCCGAGTAGACCCTGCTGATCCTAACACAAGCTCTAGAATGCCGATAAAGATATTTTAATACCTGTATCAACCCAACGGTCAACTCAAATGAGTTCAGTGTTTGCCATAACATATTCCTGTCCACTCTGTCATAAGCCTTTTCCAGGTCCATGAACGCACAAAAAACTTTTTGGTTTTTGGTCTAAATCCCGCCTGCACATCCCAAATTTTTTCCATCAGTTTCTTTCATGACCCTATCAATTAATACCTTAGCATACAGTTTTCCCACAATGCTAAAAAGGCTGATACCACGGTAGTTTTTACAGTGCTGCTGCGACCAGATAGTCACAGATATATTTAAATTGTGCATAAATGGGTAAAATTGAACAATGATTAAATAATTTAACGTTATTGTTTTTAAATCTTTCCTTAATGTTTAGAGATACTATGTGTTTAAGAATTTTTACTTCTTCATCATCATCATTACATCTCCCCCTAAGGTATGCCACAAAGCACGGTCCTGAGCCACCTGCATCCATCGACTTCCTGCATGTCTTACCAGGTCATCACTCCATCTAGTGGGGGGTCGCCCTACACTACGCCTACCGGTACGAGGCTGCCACTCGAGAACCTTTCTTCTCCATCGGTTATCGGTTCTTCGAGCTATATGGCCGGCCCATTGCCACTTTAGCTTATTAATCCTAAATATATAAAAAGCTTACTAATTTTTACTTGAAGCCTGTATATTTGATCGAGATATGTTTTATATGTGCACCCATAGAATACTATAATACGCAATAGAATGGCTGTCAACCTTATTTTGTACAAGGGTCAGCGTCGCCGGGAGCAAACATACAAACGTGATTCGCTGTGTTGACGGACTGAGTAAATTTAAACATTTTAGACTTTTGATTAATGTTCAAGATCATCGTTAAAAATCGTTTAAATTTTAATACATATTTATTTGTAAATATTATGCAATTTGGCATTTTCTAAATAATTTGCATAAGAAATTTGGAAACGATTGTAACGTCAAAACACATCTCGTGTTGACAGTTATACGTGTGAATTGACATGTTACTGGCTTTTTAGTGGCTACACGGGCTCCGCCCAGACCCCGTTCAATTGTTTATGTATTATAGTATTCTATGTGTGCGCCCATATCTACTGTGCCCGTGTTGTAGAAAAGATTCAGCTAATGATTTATAAAGCATTAACTTTATATCTTTGAACTTTGAAGGGTATACGGTTCTTAAGAATTATAATATTCGCTAAAATTGACTTAGCTTATTATTACTACAAACGTATTATAAGACCAAGATATGTCTGGGTGTTCACAACGTAGAGTAGTCAGGCCGTGCAAGCAGTTATGGTTGTGTGCAACTATCTTTTTGGCAGGATGGCGCTTGATGTGCGGAACTAGGAGTTTGGTTTAAAAAAAAGTTTGTTAAAATCCATAGTTGACATATTTTTGTATTATGATAAGTATTAGTAGTAAAAATATTAATAAATTTAAACTTGATAATTTTTTTTAAATATTTTGTGTTAAAATATTCACAAAAAATATTAGGAACTCTTTTTGCTACTACTGCTGAATTTACTCTCTCATTCCTCTTTCTCAATTGTCTTCTCTCTATTCCTATGTAAAGGTTATAAAGGTTTTTCAATATTTCGTCTTTATTTTTCTATTTGATAAATAGGTATGTGATAAGTGACAGCTAAGTTGTACAATCTTACTCACTTTTTGTAAATGAAAAGTAATTTTTCTTTTAAACGTTTTAAATTTGGTGGTCATAGAATTTATTTGGGATTCTAAATACATTCTATGCAATCAGGCGTGCGTGGGATAATCTACAGTTGGAGATTAAACGCTCGTCTGATTAAAATAGTTTAAATGTAAGGTTTAATGTAATTTATGATAACATAGATAATAGATAACGTTGGGATATTCTTTGATCTTTAGATGTCAATTGCGGTGACTGCGGAATATGTAGTTAATTTGCCAAAAAACATTATAGGGGCTTCAGTATTTTTTAAACTCCGCCACCAGGCACACATTTGCGTTTAATATAATAAAATAATATTTTGCATTTAATATGCATATGAGAATGATGCTGGGGATTTGTTTATATTTATAATAATAAGATCTTGAATTAACTGGTTTCTCTGCATTTTTGTTTACACTGCCAATGTAGTGTGAAATATTACATCAATTTACAAATTCTTCGACAGTATCACGCTATCCATTTGACTATCTAGGAACTTAAAAATCTTTATTTATTCAATGAGTTTCACGGCATTTTATGATAAACATTTGAAAAACACTTATTGTTACAGGAAACCGGGGAAAATCAGCCAACAAGATCTACAACAAACTCTCGCAAGAAGCATAAAACATCCCATCATGACAAATTTATGACTTTGGCTTCTAATAATTTTAAAACACCAGATGCTGATGCTGATATTATCGCAAAAAGTTGGGTTATTAAACTCAATAGATTAGTTCCTGATCAACGCCGGTTTGCCGAAAAAATTATAAACGATGTCCTTTTTGAAGGAGAAATGGGAAACTTAACGCGAGATGGAGTTATTTTTAAATCAGCTACTTCAAATACTCAAGAAAATTAGTCAAATATTTCTCAAGCTTCTGTAAACTATTCGTATCAAATAAATCAAATATAATGAGTAAGTGAGCTCTCAGTTATTGCCTAAACCTAGTCCATGTCTTTTAACTGGCTTACCGTTACGGTTATAGACTATTTTAGTCCACTGCTGAACGTAGGACTCCCCCATAGATTGCATCACAGGGGGATTTTTGCCATAGCTGCCACGCTTGGCAACCGCAGTTTTTTATGTCGTTTTTAGGAAGACGCTGCTGCCCATCAACTGATTTGTTGCCCCTTAGCAGGAGATATTATAGTTAAACTAGCTTATCTCCAACTAACAGGTTCACAACATATCCTGCATATCAATATACAATAATCTTGCAGCCCTCCCCTGAGTATATGGTTATCTGTGCCCGTAATCAAATCAGCTACAATTTGTCTCAAGAATTGGAATAACTCAAAAAAAAAACATCGATATATATGTACTACGCACCTGTTATTGTGACTTCGATAATGCAGTGCGGAGCGGCACTAATAATAATTTTATATTAAATTAGCACATATGCAAAATAAACGAAAATTAAATAAAATGTACTCGATTAACAATACAATCTAACTCGTAGACAGAGAAACCTATAGACTAATGATTAGCGTGGCCTCGAGTGAGATAGGATGATAACTTAGTTTTAGGTTATACTATAATCTTTATGACTTTTAAACATATTTAGATAAAATTTTTAATTATTCTAAGAACTGAACTGAACAAGATTCACCAATTTTAAGCTCACAAAACACTTTTTTCTCACTTAAACCAACTTGTAAACTCCTTAGATCGCTAAGAACTGTCAAAGTTGTTTATCAAAGTGCAGTTTGCTAAACAAAAACCGGCACGGAGAAAGGGACAAACAATCACATTGTTCTGTCTCATTTCTATGCAAGACGTATGCATAAATCTATCTTTTTGCGTCGATGCGTCACATTGCGAAGCCCTTGGGAGATTTTGATGACAACTCAACCCAGCGGACAGTTGATGACGACAGCCACTCAAGTTCATGAGGCACCCAAGCGATCAAAATAACTTGAGGTTTATATCGACATTAAAGCACTTGTTTCGTCGTTTTCTCTAATAGTTCACACGCGCGGACACTTAATTTACAAAATCGCATCACTTTTACGAATCAAAATCCACTTCAAACCATTATTTAAGCGACAAAACAGGAGCGACAATCCTCCTACTCCTACTATTGCCCGCGCATACGCGGATACAGAGTAGTGCACATTTTTTTTGTTTGGAATAGCTTCTCTAGTACGTAGTACATATAACTCAATGCAAAAAACCAACTAATATAACATTGGGCTATTATGTACTGCGTACTAGAGGCGACACTGCATTCAGCTACTCTGTTCTACTCAACTGCGGTGCGTACACCGCACTTCAATCAGTCACTCTCTAGGCGCTTGTAGAGTTGTCATATGTTGTGTTGATTTAAAAAAAATCTCTTTATAAAAATATGCCGTCGTGTGTACTTAGATATTGCACAAATAATTCAAGAAATGTCAGTAAAAATCAAGGAATTACTTTTCATCGGTTAATAATATACTTAATCAATAAAAAAGTATCATAGATTAATAAGAAAATAAATTATTCCTAAGACGCCATCTCCTGTCATGGAATATAGATTATGAAATTAATATGTTCAGATGCGACATTTCTTTGGGTACATAAATATAGGACGAATATATTAATACACATTTTTTTTGTAGAAACATGTATGTATAAGTTATTATAATTAGGCTAAATTTATCCTCACCTTGTCTCTACCGACATGTCTAAGCCCACTTATATCCGAGAGCAGTTTTGGGAGATGGTAAGGATGGTGTTAATGAAATGTAAGGAAAATGAAAATATTGTTATGTTAGGAGATTTTAATGGAAGGGTTGGGGTGAGGAGGCTTGGCTATGAAAGGATACTGGGAACGTTTGGTGATGAAAGTATTAATGAGAATGGTGAAAGTCTCCTCACCGTATGTGTGGAAAGGCATCTTTTTGTGACGAAGACTTTCTTTCGTCATAAGAAGATTCACATGTATAATTGGGAAAGAGGTGATGATAGAAGCATGATAGATTTCATAACTGTGGATGAAAGAATGAGGAGCGCAGTGGTGGATACAAGGGTTTACCGGGGGTCCAACATAGACACGGACCACTACTTGGTCTTATGACGAATTAGGGGTTTATTCAGACGTTGGCGGCATCGGACATCTGTGTCTACCACTGCGTTACAGCGTATAAGAATTGAGAGGTTACAAGATGAAGATGTGAAAGACAAGTACAAATGTAGACTGAGAGAAAATATAAGTGATTTGGATGAGTTGTGTGTGAATGAGTTAGACTTGGAGAATGTGTGGCATAATGTTATGAAAGGTTTAGTGGATGCAGCTACCGAAGTATTTGGTGTTAGTAAGAGAACGAATGAAAGGAAAGACAATACGTTATGGTGGGATGATGAGGTACGTATGGAAGTTGAAGCAAAGAAGAGAGCATGGCTAGATTTACTAGCGACCAAAGCTGGTAATTCTGGCGGTGAGAATGATGAGATTGAAAGAAAAAAGGCAGAGTTTAAACGTCTAAATAAGAGAGTAAAAGAATTAGTTGAAAGGAAAAAGCAAGAAAGAACGGATAAAAATGATAAAATAATATCGGATAACTTCTAGGCAAATATTAAAATGTTCTGGAAACTCGTAAGAAATACCAGGGGATATTCAAAACAGCCTAGATTAAATGCGATACGAGACGAGAATGGCTGTATTCTGAATGATGAAGTATTGAGTCTAAAGAGATGGAAGGTATATTTTGAAAGCGTATTTATGAGTGAGGAGACGTGTGAACTTGATAAAATAGAAATTCCGAAAGAAGATGAAAGAGATAGGGAGATAAGTATAGATGAAATAATGAAAGCAATGAAAAGAATGAAAGTAGGTAAGGCAGCCGGATATGATAGAATTTCACTCGAAATGCTAAGGGCTGTAGAGGACGTGGTGGCAGGCCTGCTGTACACCTTGTTTAATTTATGTTGGGAACTAAAGCGGGTACCGGGAGACTGGTGCAAAGCCGTGATATTCCCAATATATAAGGGAAAAGGGTCACAGCAGGAATGTAAAAACTACCGTGGTATCAGCCTTCTTAGCATTGTAGGAAAACTGTATTCTAAGGTACTAATTGAAAGAGTTATGAAAGAAACTGATGAAAACATTTGGGATGTGCAAGCGGGATTTAGAAAGGGAATGGGGTATCAGATCAAGTCTTTTCCATGCATATGATCGCGGAGAAGTTTTTGGTGAAAAACCAAAAAGTTTTTTGTGCGTTCATGTACTTGGAAAAGGCTTATGACAGAGTGGACAGGGTTGTGTTATGGCAAACGCTGAACGCATTTAGGTTGAGCGCTGGTTTAATACGGGTATTAAAGTCTCTGTATAGGAACTCGAGTGCTTGTGTTAGAATCAACGGGGTCTACTCGGACTGGTTTGGCATCCATAATGGTGTCAGACAAGGCTGTGTAGCTTCCCCGTGGCTGTTCAACTAATTTAAGGACAGTTGTTTGGAAAATTTGAAAGTTGAAGAATGCGGGTTAATAATGGGTGAGTTAACCATCAAATGCCTTTTGTACGCCGATGATCAAGACATACTTGCGTCGTCGGCGGCCGAGTTGCAAATGATGATTACATTAATGAACAGGTCATTAAAAGAAAGGGGAATGAAGGTGAACGCTAGTAAGACAAAAGTGATGGTTTTTGAAAGAGAAGAAAGCAAAACGGTATGTGAAATAAGAATAGAAGGAGAGTTAATTGAGCAAGTGGATGTGTTCGTATGTTTGGGATGTGTATTCAGCAGGTATGGGAGATATGATAAGGATATTGAACGACGAGTGAATGCAGGAAATAAAGTAAATGGGGCTCTACACTCTATTGTGAAAAGTCAGAATGTGTCAAAAAAGGCATGTATGGCAATTCACAATGCTGTATTAGTCCCTACTTTAACATATGGTAGTGAAAGTTGGGTGTGGCAGAAGAAGCACGAGAGTAGAATAAATGCAGTAGAAATGCGGTCGCTAAGGAGTGTGTTAGGGCTGAATCTGAGTGACAGGGTGAGAAACTGTGTGATAAAAGAAGAGTGTGGTTTGCAAGATGATTCAAGAGGAATGCTTCGGTGGTTTGGTCAAGTAGAAAGAATGAATGCGGAAAGACTGACAAAGCAAATATATGTTGCAGAATTGAATGGAAGAGTCAGAAAGGGACGTCCTAGGCGGAAGTTTGTCGACCAAATTGGCGATATACTAAAAATGGGCCAAATTAAGAGTACCCTTAATCGACGAGCATTAATTATGCGTAGGTATATGGATGTGGAAGAGGCGAGAGAGGTATGTCAGGATAGTGCTAAATGGAAATCTGTAGTCTCTGCCTACCCCTCTGGGTGACAGGCGTGAGTGTTTATGTATGTTCCTCTTAAAATATTCACAAAAATATCAATAAAATGTAATTGTGATATAATATTATGTAATATTATATTAAATAAGCAAATATAATATACAAAATAAATGACAAAATTTAAATATTATTCTCGATATAATTTACCTATCTACTATTACCTATCTACTATTACCTACGGAACATTTTACCTATATTTATTCTATGATAAAAAAACCAACCGCGAGAATACAGAGTAGCGCACATTTTTTGTTTGAAATAGCTGTTCTAGTACGTAAGTACATATTACTTCAATGTAATATATTAACTAACTAATATTTATAAAACTTTAATACTTTTTAAATGTTTAAAATTATTAATAAAAAAAAATTATTAATGTAAGTTATAAGTACAATTTTTATTATTTTCTTAGTATTTTTTGTGTTTGCTGAAAATTGAAAATTTTTTACCCGACGACAAGGCTAACACCTTCAACACAAGATTATTTTTTTTTGATGGTCGGTTCCATTAAATGTTTGCGTTTGGTGATTTTTATATT